GTCCCGCCACAGGCGGTTCCAGCCACTTCCAGACATCCCGCCGCTTCTCAGGACACCAGGCCCCGCACACTCACCATTTCTAGGCTTTCAGGAGGCCCTGGCGTCTTAAGCATGGATCCCTCAATACCTGCAGGTCACAGGGCCACCTAGGCTGGGCCTGAAAGAGCAGAGACACAGCAGTAAAGAACGGAACCTGGAGATTCAGGCACAGCGAGAGGCCAAGGCCCCAGCATGTGCCTGAAGCCGCTAGGTCCTCTCCACCTGCGTGCCTGATTGGACAGCTCCCAATCTGGTGACAGTGATTGGATAAGGTCTTAGGCCACGCCCCCTTGGCCCCTGAGTGACAGAAGATGTGACCAGATACTGGGCTGAATAAGGCAAGAGCGACAAAGATGGAGTCATGTAGGGAGGGAGCCCAGGCAGGGCTATTTCTGCCCGTTAAGGAATCCATTCCCGTCTGCAGAGCATTGGTAATCACGGGTACCTGGGGCCCCTCTGCCCCAGAGAGATGTCTGCTTTCCCAAGAGCAAGTGCAGCCCCTGGACCCTTCCAAATGGAGGGAAGAGGCAAACAAGAACTTTTAAAAAGTGGAAGAGTAGATAATTTAAGGAAGGACTCCTCATTCATGAGGCCACAAGAAGGCAGGGAGCAGGGCTATAGGGCTTGGGGATGGGGCAGAAAAGAAGTGGTCAGTAGAGTATGCTGAGTTCTTTAGAACTGAGAGGTAGGGACCAAGACAGAGAGGAGAGGCCAGGACAGAGCAAGTGAATTTAGCTCAGATGGCGAGGGGCAGAGCACAGAGGAGTCGTTGCTCAGAGAATCCTATGGAACCTGCAGTGGATGATCCCTGCAGCAGATGGTCCCTGCATGGTACTGGGCAGATGCATAGCAACCCTAGTATGACCCCAGCCATGCCCTGCCCCTTAGCATCTGAGCTAAATCTACTTTCTGTACATGTCGTGGGGCAAGCTCATGGCCTACAGAAACCAGAGAGCCTGGGAGACTCTTATTAAGCCATTCTCCAGCAGAGCAGCAAACACCACCAGAGCTTCAGCCCAACCTGATCAGACCTGTCCTGACATGCCAGCCCAGCTTCCTCCCACCTTGGCCTGGCAGATTCCCTCTTGGTGCCCTGGATGACAGACTAGGACACAGGATTTCCTGACACCTTGATCAGGACGGGAGCCCAGAACTTTCAGATCTCTTCACAGAATATTGTTTTAAGAAGGATTCTGAACTTGACAATCTCATCTG